TCAGGATACTGGGGGAGACCCATGTTAACCCTGCTTGAGATCACATTTGACGTGGTGCTTGCTTCATAAAACCATACTACATACAGCCTTGAGACACTGAAGGCCTTCCCCTTCCCTCGCCTTCCGAGAGTAAGTGCCGAAACCGCTGCAGTGCTTCGTTAGTTCCATCTTGTACCCCGAAACCCAATTCTATTTCTACTTAAGGCCCCCCATATTTAGGGCTTTGGGGTTGGGTCTGACTGGCATCCTGCCGAGACTTTGATGCAGGATGGGAAAATCCCTGCAGGATCCTTGCGTCCAAGAAGTGTGGGCTTGATATTGTTGTTAAGGCCTGCGGAATCGTGTTGCTAGCTTTAGCGGGGTTGCTTCGAGGGCAACACCTGGCTCGAAATCATCTGCGACCAAAGTGTCACAGCTGTAGTCTCGAAGAGCACGCCACATCGCTGCACGTCCCTGTTGTATATCGAGTCACTGTGCTGCTTTGTTTGCTTTCGTTGCTCATTCTGGTTGGTTTCTTCGCTTGTTGCTTCATTTAAAGGTTACGGGCCGACCAAGCCCGGATGAAAAAAAGGGTTACAGGCAAACGTACTCGTATGATTTTTTCACCGGCTTGCATCTGGCATGGCTTGCCCGTGGAGGTGTGTGCTGCTGGCCGCAGTGCCAGTAACGGCAACCATGCTGCTGCTACTGCAATCCCGTGCTATGTCCGGAATGTTAAGCGGACAGCGTCCCGAGTTCTTGGAAGCTGATGTAGATCAGATGCCGATTTTGATCACAGCTTTGGACAGGCTCGAGAGGAAGATGATCCACCTGGAACAGATGTCAGAGACAATCCTGGTGAAGGCTCCGACGAGCAGCGCTGGGTCGGGCTCAAGTGGGCCGTCCTTGGATCCGGAATCGCTAGCCGGGGTCGAGCGGAGATCGGAGGATTCATATTGGTTTCAACGAAAAGAGCTCAATCAGGTGCCCAGTCCTCACTTTGCGGGCCTCGAGCCCAATTGGCCGTGTCTCTGGGGAGAGGAGCAGATCGGTGTTGCAGGCGGTGATGGGAACAAGTGGATGTGTGGCGCCCGCTTGCTTCAGACACCCTGTGTGGTGTATTCCTTCAGTTTCGGCGATTTTGCATTCGAGAAGGGGGCATTGAATTTGGCGAAGGGATGTGAAGTACATGTGCATGACCCCACAACTGATGGATCACAGTTCCAGGAAAACATGCATTGGCATTTCCACAAAGTTGGCATCGCAGATTATGACGGTTTATTCAAGCTTGGCCGCGGCACCTGGCACCTGACACGACTGGAAGGAATGCCGGTAAAGACCCTCGCTACACTCATGCAGGAGCACGGCCACAAGCACATTGATGCATTGAAAATCGACATAGAGGGTATAGAGTATCAAGTTCTGACTAACTTGAATACAAGTGGCTGGCCCTCCATAGGCCAACTGATGATAGAGGTGCACGTGCAGAAAGATGAGAGGTACAGAAGATGGCTCCTTAAACTGGTGGAGCAGATTGAATCTGCTGGCTTCAGGCTGTTTCACAAAGAGACCAATGTGCTTGCCCCACAGGGCTGCATAGAGTACGCCTTCATCCAGCGAGGATGGAGGCCAGAGACCAAGGCTTACGACATGTATGCCCAGCGCTCTCCACCGTAACGTTACGTCGTGCAAACATCGCAGTCAAGCTTTCCCAATCTATGGAGTCTATGGAAGGCCTGTGATTCGCCTGCGGCACTGAGGCCGTACATAAGACTTTGTGTTCTTGGTGTCATATATAGAGCCTTAGTTCAGCACGGCTACTCCGGATTTTTTCGCCACTCATTCACAGTTTAAACTGTGTTTCTGCTAGCAGCACTCGTGACTCTGTGGTTGTGGCCCTTGTGCCTGCTGCATTTGTTGTTCTCATTTTAGTTTGATTCTTCTGCTGCAGCTGCTCCTGCTGCTTCCCATGCTTCTGGATGACCGCTGAGAATGCACCAACAGCATTGGGGCAGTAATCTTACGTTCGCCTCTCGAGGCTTAGGCCTTCGTGTGGGAGGTCTTTAGACGTGTGATTTGCAGACGTTGTAGATCTGAGCGTTGCCTTTTGGTTCAGTCCTGTCAGACCGATGCCGAAGCCACGTTCCGAAGGCAGACAGAAGCAGGGTGTAGAAGTTTAGGGGCTGGAGCATTGGTTTCGGAAGATGTGAGACACTGCTGCTAACAGCGACGTGACATCTTGGACACCTTCGGCCCTTCGGCATGAGCACAAACCCTCAGACGCAATCATTCTTGTGCGAACTTGCTTGAGACGTACAATGACATGCAGCCGGCCGCGAAAGTCATGCTGCCGACTGCCGGATGAATCCACATCTGGGGGCTGGCTATGGGCCGGCGAGTCTCCTTGCTGCGATTAATCCTGAGGTATACTGTCTCCTCTTCATATCCATATGATACAAGTGATAAAGTTACCCAAACCTGTTCTTACCATTAAGGCCCGCCATCCTAAGACAGCTGGTTAAAGCAAGCAAACTACGGCCATACCAGCCATAAAAGCAGTCATCACAGCCCGGACAATCATACGACTATCTCCACCTTACAAACATTTCGCAGCAACGGTGGCTGTCTGGGTGCTAGAAAAAGACTGACAAGCTTTCAAGTGGTGTGCCGGAACAAAGCTCAGGCTCAACGTTCTCCCGCTGAGCGCAAGTATGCAGTCTCATGCCTATTGCAATGATGCTTTCCCAGTGCTGATCTCGAGAAAGAAAGGCCTATTACCAATACTGTACTGCTAGCCATGACAGCAACAAGAGCAATAGCCCCGTTCCTCGCACACGGAAATTGACCGTGCAGCATTTCGCTATGAAGGAGGTTATTCGCTGGAGCTCGGCCATAGATCGTGAGACGAGAACCACTGCAAAGTCAGAGTTCCATAGAGTTCTAAGATGGCACCTTTTGAGTAGTCAGGGTCTTGAATCTTGAAACGGCGAACTGTTCAGCGGGGCTGGTTTTTGTTAAGGCTCAGAAAATCATCAGAAGAAGTGTGCGGCTATTCCTGCTGTCTCGACCCTGCCGTCAAAACATGCTTGATTCGTGGTCACCTCCTAAGCCTACGGCCACGCCGACGTGGGTGGAGAAGAAGATTTGTTGGGCGCCCTGGTGGTAGCGCAGGACGACCTCTTAATTTGGAATGACGGTGCGGTTCTCGGGCCTCAGTGTCTTCACAGCAGGCGGTTGGGAAGTGCCACATTGCGGCAATTTTTAGAGGGACTTCTTGGACACAGATAGAGGCTCGACAAAGGGGGCGCCGGGGTAACTTCCGGTCTCTTCTTTGTGTTAGCGCTGGAAAGAGAACAGCCAGAAGCTTCAGCTGCTATCCGTTCTATCTGCAAGAAGCAAGTGAAGGAGCGCCTCAGCCATGCGCACAACCTCAGCGAGCTTACAGAGCGGCGTCAGGTGGATGATAATCGGTGTGAGTCTTGTGATTCAGTGTTGGGTGCGGGCATGAAGACATTCGCACTGGCCTCCTCAAACATAGGTGTTGGATGCTCCCTTACACTCTGCCCAGGCATGGTTTTTTGTGGCACAAGCAGTATAGCTTACAGGTACACTTGTTGAAGTCAGAGGCTGTTATAGCAGTTGGAGGAACTCGGAACATCAGGTCAACAGGCTCTTTCCCTCCCCCTTTCTCTCTCTCTCTCTCTCTCTCTCTCTCTCTCTCTCTCTCTCTCTCTCTCTCTCTCTCTCTCTCTCTCTCTCTTGCTCTCCCGAATCATGAGCATAGAGTGGACCCCTCTTGCGAAACTAACAATTGTGGAAGCTGAGTGTGGAGTCCAAGACTGTGGGCCCGAAAATTCTAGCCAGCTGGGATGCAGAATTGGAAAATGCAGCTCACAGCTGGTACAACGGCTTCGACATACCGACACCTACCCTGAGAGGAATGCCAGCGCTTGGCCGAGCGACTGCGCCAGATGGGTCAATATGTGGATCCTGAGGAGGTCGCGGTCGCTTTCTTTGGAGCGTGTTCGGAAAGTGAGGTCGTGTTATGGGCTGTGTAAGAACGACTGAGTTCGCTTCCTACTGTCTTTACTTTTCGCTTTTGGACCAGGTGCCTTGACCGGCTGCTGCACGTCTCAGCAGTCTGCCAGCTTTGAAGGGTGCGCAGGTTTGGAAGACCCGCATGACTAATAACCAACTACGAACGACTAGGCTTTGTGGACTGGCCAATAGTCATCACACTGCTTGAGCCCCCCCCTGTACTTCTAGTTACTCTTGCTTCTGCTGCTGGTGCTGCTGCCCTACAGCGACAACGACAACAACAACTACGACGACGACGACGACGACTACTACTACTGGCACTGCGATGGCGACACGGCTACGACTTCTGACGCTTCAACGGTTGCTGCTGCTGTTTCCCATATGTTTCAGGAAACTCACTAGAGTCAGTCCAGCAAGCGGCCTTTCATAATGTCAAGCACAGGAACGGGAATGATAACGGAGGAGCAAAAACATGATTCCCATGAACTTCACGTTCATCACCGCCGTCATGGTCATTCTTCATCATTGTTCTCGTCATCCTCATCTTCGTGATCTGCATCAGGATGCTTCGGCGGCTGCTGCGCGCCCTTCGTCTCACCCTCGGAACCGCAGAGAGACGTGGCCACTGGTCGGCAGCAAGTGGAACTCTGGCAGTCCATACCTGGACCCCAAAAGTATGTAGAATAGTAGCCTTGTATAGGATTTGGGCCATTATTTTAAATACTTTTGGGGGTCTATAGGTACAAGGGGCGAGGGAGGTCTCCAGAACAGACAGTTTTAGGCGGGGAATTTAGGGTCACTGACTGAGCATGAGCGGGGTCGATTCTACTGTCGTTGCCCAAGATCACGCCATGATGCATGGGTTGTCATGGTGCATGATAGTACTTGAATACCTCTTGACGGGTTCTGCAAGGCATGTGCTTGCTTTAAAGGTGAATTCGGCAGATGGGTCCTTCTGCATGCACTGCCGAAAGGCTGTTCACATGTCTTTCGCGAGTAGCTGTGGTCTTTTGTGGGTCACTGCTTGCTGCCCCCTCCTGCATTCTCTACCGCGCAGAAGTCATTGTCGAACAACAACATGGGAAAGTGATACGGATTTGAGGCACGCCCCAGACCAACATGAGGGCGGCATCAATGAGCAGCTTCTGGCCATCAACAAGGCTGTGAAAGCCTCTGCAGTGAGTTCGCTCAAGTTTCCTGCAAAAGTCGGAGTCCTTGCCCTGGCGATTACCCTCTTCAATACTTATTGCTTGTCGACGAGCCAGTCAAGAGCCTGCCTCCTGAAGAGGTGCTTCACAGCGAGCTGCTGCGGCATCGGTTGCGAGCAGATTCGTTTGAAAAATGCTGTCGGTGGCGCCTTTCCTTCAGCTGTGACAAGGCACGTGTTCGGAAATCCGAGTCCTAAACGAGGGAGCGCAAGAGAGACAGAGAGAATGATTGCGGTGATTCGTGATCCGTGAGATGATGCAGACTACTTTTTTTGTGCGACTCCCTCCATTCATCTCCATTCATGAGCAGAGGACATTCCGTACAGATGTGTATCTCGGAAGAGTCAGACTTGCTTGGCTGCTATGAGAAGCACATCGTCGGTGCAGCGACAGTCAAGCTGTAATACTGGTGTCTGCAGACCTCGCCTGGTATTGCCGAGTGTGAGCATCAGAAAATCAATGATCCACGCGATGATCGCACACATGGTTGCCACTGAAATCACATTGCTCGCGGTGACCAACATCGTGTGGATGTCATGGGTAGGGAATCAAGTATAGTTGCTGTTGGCTCGCCGCTTTGAGTCTAGCGGGTTTAGGTTTGCGATTCAGGGTCAAGGATTGTCGGGTTGATACGGCCAACATCAGAGACCTGGATGCAAGAAGGATCCCGGGTTCGCTCTCATTTTGTTTGCTCTGCGGTAGGCGGCTCTCTGCAAATCGCATCTCCGGCAAGACAAGATAAAGGGCGGTTTCCGCTGTAGACCCTCTTCCAGCAAGGGGCTTTTCGCCTTGCTGCTCGGCAGGAGAAGCTCTCGTCAGCCTTTGACCGTCTTCTGGAGCTGAGTATTGCGCACGCGCTTCCTGACATGTCAAACTGATGGCAGAACAAGGGGAGGGGTAAGAAGCATGCAGGCATGTGAGCAGCAGTGCTTTCAGGGATTTGTGCCAGCAGAGCAGAAGGGTCTTTGTATGTCTTTGTGGAATGTCAGTCAAGTCAGAGACACTTCGGGTGCCTGTCATCGCGGAACCTGTGTTTTAAGAGACTTGTTGCCTGTTGTGTGACCTTGCGAAGAGCACACAGAACCGAGCTCCTTGACACCCCTGTTTCATCTTTCGAAGCGGCGATGCGGTTTTCCATGTCGTGGGCGTATTTCTTCGGCAGGTTGACTTGATCATGAACCCATAATGATTCGTATTGTAATGGGAGTGCCTCAGGGGAGTTGCGGACAAACGGACATTTGTTGCGAGACTCATAGAGCTGTCAAGCATGCACCATTGAGGTGCGGCATCGTGGCCACCCGGGTTGTAGTCTTGAGCTCCGGAAGCACCACCGGCGAGGCACGGGCATCGCTTGGGGACTCGTTGATAGCGTGGCTTTGAAGGTTCTGGCCTGGTTGGATCAGTCAGGCACCAATACCTTTTCAAGTTCTGAGAACTGCCCCCCGGGCCTGAACCGTCGACCGTGTCTCCCGGTGAGACGGGTTGGAGTGACTCAACATTGCGGAGTACGAGCTTCAGCACTTGAGGCATCTCACTTCAACTTGCCGCCAGGTGGACTTCACAATTACGGAGGACCCAGCGGCTGCATCCCCTTCGGATGTGATCGAGGCAGCTGCCGAACAGTCTTGACTTCCTCGAAGTAGAACCGCCTCAAGCTTCCACTGCCTTCCACACATAGAAGAACTTTATGGGATGTTGCAGGGCACCTTATCATATAATTCTATACCTCCAACTCCTAAGAGTCTCCTAACGATTCAGGCCTCTCGCAGTGGTTGGTCCGGGTCCAAAAACGCGAAAACAAACATTGCTGTTTCTCATTTTTCGTCCATGCTCACAAGCCCCGCTTGTCTCGAACCTTCGGGCCTGACTCTCCGCCGGCGGAGGAGTTGCGCGATCAGTTGGGAGATGCATTGTCTCCCTTCCGCACTGGCGCCTTCGCGAAATTCGCCTCCTGCGTCCTGCAACTGAGCGGAGTGCTGCCTTCGCAGCACTGCTTGTGGGCGCCGGATCCAGCGGCTCCTTTGGCAGAGGCCCTGGATCCAGTTGCCGAAGGCTTGAGCAGACTGAACGAGCTGGCGGAATCAGTCGCCCACCCAGACGAAGAACAGGAGGACGAGGATGTCGCGAAGCGTCCGGAGTACTGGGGCTTGCGTGTCAGAGATTTGTCCGAGTTCAACTCCTCGATTCACGACGAGCTTGTTTCATACTGCCAAGATCACCACGTCCATTTCGAGCACGGACATTGCATCCACCTTTGCAAGCACGGAGCCAACTGCCCCTGGGGTGATCATGAGGGAGTTCTGCATGACAAGACTCGTGATGCATCCAGAATGCCTGGAACACCGCTGCTTCCGAACATGCATGCGGTCACTTGGCTGCAGCGATTCGATTCGCAAGCTCAGCGAGTCTACGTTCTGGTGGTGCAGTCGCGAGAATAAGAGATACACCACGTTGACCCCTCGGAACAGAAGGGAATGGTAAAGGAGAATGTAGTGGGGGAACGGGGCCAGACGAGTTTTGGGTTGTTGCGCCTGAGCGCTGAGCACATCAGGTTAGGAAGCGCCCTCCGAGTGCATGCAGAACGTCCCCCAACATCCCCCAACCCTTGCCCGACCATCACCCGCAATATGTGCCCGTACCTGCTTCCCACCTTTGACCTCCTTCGCTTTCTGTGAGTGTTTTCATTGCAGAACAGATGAAACTCAGGTTGTTTCCCGGTATGTCAAGCCACAGACCCGGGCCAAGGGAACATCTTGGGCTGCGATGAAGCTGCTGGGCCTGATTCTGTCGTTCGGTTCTCGAAGTAGGATCCTCACAACAGGAGAAGTGCTGATAGTGTTAGCTCCTCAGGCCCTTTCCAGCCTGCTACGGTGCTCGGGCTTTAGATTGAGTTCAGTACGTTTGCATCCACACAACTCGGCCTGCACGATTGACGGTTCACAGCCGCCGAGAGCAAGATACTTGTATGTACGGGTATGGGATCAGCAAGTTCGACAATTGCTACTGTACTCTTCTCTTACTCTGTCTCTGTCTTTCTGGCCCGCACTCTCCCCCTCCTCTGTATGTATGTATGTATATCGATCTGTATATATTTATGTATGCATGCATGTATTCCTTCATGCACGCACATGACGATTACGACTTCTATGTAAAAATCATTTGTATCTGTATATCTGAATCTGCATACCTATACATCTGTATCAAAGAAAAAGCCCTTGCGCCATCTTCATGTTACTTACCTTTGGTTAGTAGGAAATGGAGGAATGAGGTACAATTATAACTACTAGTACTACCATTCTTCCATTCCCTGCTGACCAAAGGTAAGGATATCCGGAGCCAAGGAGTTCTACGCATTCACCCCTGCATTGAGAGCCTTAGGGATGAGAGGGCGCAAACAAGTTGTAGAACACATTAGACGGTGCCGGTAGGTAGGTCACAGACACGAATAAATCACAGCATAAAGCACCGAAACGGCCTGCAAACTCCGACAAGTCACGCAGCCATGCACCAGTGCACAGCTCAGGTACCCGCAGGGCCGCTAGGATGCACTAAGTTCTCGCGCCCGAACGACGGGAACACTCATCTACGTAAGGGACAAGGTATTCGACTTCTGTTGCAGTCGTTGCATTCGGAGTACTTCGGGATTGGAGGGTGATTCTACATGCTTCACAGTCAAGGCTGTCCTGGAGGAAATCGTATCCAAATGCAGCCGGGCAATTGCACCTGTGCACCCCCCTTGCAGACTCACACACGGAATCTGAGCAGTAAATTCTGCGTGGGGAAGTCGTGCGTGACTGCCGTCTTGAGCGTCCAAATGTGCAAGCCCTGGAAGTAGCCTCCAATCAATGGACCAGCTTGTGAACAATCTCTTTGCCGCGTTTCCTGCTGCGAAATCTCAGCAGGTGATGAGACCGAGAGCTATAACTCATTCCTTGCATCCAGCGTGGGCGGAAAAGTTATGCTACACGCTTTTGTGTTTGCCAGTTGGTTTTGCAGATGGCGGCAAATCTTTGCATGAAACGTAATTAGTTACCTCTGCATGCCATCATCAACATCACCATCATCGTCATCACCTGTTACTGTCAAGACAGCCAGGCAGCCATGCATTGTTTCGCTTCTTCAGTCCTTCTGTGGAGTGGGCTTGGTTGTGACTGTGAGTTGTCCAGTGCGTTTGAAAGACCTGCTCAGTCAGGCTCTCAGTGTAACAGCCATATTGAAGATGTACACTTTTATAATATATGAACCTGCGACTCAACATGAGTTGCGCTTAAGACTCTCTTGGATGACTTTGTTGCTTGTCGTATCACGAAGCCTCCGAACCTGAGGACTTCGCATCACCCATTTCGTGACCCACACGTGGGAGGAGATCGCAATGAGACCCCAAACTTGAGATCTCAGGGCCTACTGTTGATGATATAAATCCTGCATGACCCATAATAAGGAATATACCATAATTGCCATATATTCCTTCCTTATTATGGGTAATGCAGGATTTATATCATCAACAGTATCAGTCCACGATTGCCGAACGAGGCTGTTCAGTGGCTTGGATTCTGCTGTGATGCGTGAGAACGGTCCGAACTCCCAAGCAAATCACACCAACCGAGTCCCTGCGTACCCATGGGCTCCATAGTAGTTCCTTTTAGGGATGACATTATAGGATTCAAAGTCTGAACCCCAAAAGGAACTACTATGGAGCTAAACCCGTATAAACCCTAAACCACACCAGTAAAGCCGACTCGAGTGAACCGACCCTGTAGTCAATGCGAAGCAAGAGACCTCGTTAGGCTTGTCCGAGTTGCGAGAGCGTAAACCACACCAACCGAGTCCCTAAACCCTAAGCCCTGGCAGAGGTGTTGCCAGTATGGGCCCCTCGCATGGAGCCTCCCGAACCGCCCCCTCAGTCGTCGCAGGCATTCCGGATGACCTCAGGGCAGACGGAAACGAGGGTTCAAAAAAAAACCTAAACCCTAAACCCCTAAGCCCTAAACCCTATAAGCCCTAAGCCCTAATGTGGAGGAGCTTTTCTCCGACTTCGTGGGGAGCTTAGAGGCGGCGTTGAGTCCGGACAACGCGGCCTGGTCGTGAGAGATTTCACGCATTTGGGGGGTTCGGGTTCCCCCGAGACTCCAATATCCCTTAATTGAGGAATATACCTAAGGGTTCCTCAAGGGTTACTTTAAGGTATATTCCTGAATTAGGGGATATTGGAGTCTCTGGGTCCTCTGGAGGGTTACTATGAGGGTATTGTAAGGGTTCCTTTACAGGGCTCTATAAGTGTTTGAAGTTTCCGAAAATTGGGTACCTTGTCTTGGGGTACTTAGGTGTTAGGTACTATATTGGGGTTTAGGGTTTAGGGGAGAAGCGGGGGAAAGGGGCGGCTCTTGCTGTAACCGGGCTGCTGGACAACGAGGCCTGCAGCAAAAAGGGGAGCTGAGCTGAACAAAGTGGGTCCATCCCTAAACTGCGTAAGAAGATACGATTAAGATGCGCGACGTCTCTGTCGCTTTCGCACTTGATGGTGGTGTAAGGATTGAGAGCATGAACAGTATGACAGTCTGACTATGGAGTTGCCCTCAACAGCAGCCCCGAATTTCGTCGTAAGCTCCAAGCAGCCCGAAATTTCAAGCACCAGCTTTGGAAAGTCAGGGCCAAACAGGCCTCAGCCGAGGTGGTTTGGGTTTGCAGCCTGGCGTTGAACCAGCGACTTGCCCGCATCCGCGCACCCCACGGCCCACATCACTGGACGGCTTTTGCCACGATTCCTACGGGCACATGCCTCAAGAGGGAGCAAAGAGAGGAGGATGAAACCTGTGCCACAGGGATCCCAGATCAAACCAAAGTCTCAGAAGGCGGGCCTGCTGGGTAAAGAAAGGGGTCAAGATTTTGGACGTGGTTTTACGTTTGGTCCTTGCATGCACAAGCCGTGCTACATATAAGTAGGAGACCACCACGGCCTGTAAGGCATTCTCTGCAGTAGCACTACAGGAATCTCGTCGTGAGTGGCAGTAGCAGTTTAAGCATTGATCCTTAGCTTTGCAGCCCCACGCACGCACACGTTGGACGACAGATTCTATCAGGCTTTCGTTACCCTGGCCCTGCTGCCGGCCGAGTGGCCAGACTCGCAAGAGCTTTCGGAAGTCTTCAACCCATGGGTGTTGTGAAGCTCAGGAATGCGAACATCACCGAGATGCTGGACGTGGAGCTGTTGAAGCTACTTGCACTTCAGAGTGGATTTATTTCGCGCGATCAATAGCATAGGGCATAGAAGGCACCATAGAGCCGTGTGAAATGGAGCCAACATGAGGATCGAAGAAATTGGTAGTAAGCATCCCCAGATATAGGAAAGTGCTTTGGAATCCCTACAAATAGAAAAGTGTGATATGCCCCAACACCCTGGTCAGTTTGAGGCACCAACCTTTAATTTCCGGCTCGACTAGGTATGTGGAACAGTTCAGCTTGTCGTACTACAAACAGCCTGTGCATGTAGGTTGCTGTGGATCGCACAGCTTCCTGGGTAGCATCCGAAGGGATTTTGACTGCCGTATCCAGGGATCTCAGCATCTGCAATGGTGTAGTGCGGCTTCTTATCTTTCGATGCTCTACATATTGCTGTCTGGGACATGGTATCGCATGTAAACCCCACCTGGGTCTTAATCGGATGAGTTCGATTTTGCTGCACACTCGTTGTAAAAACCTTCGTCTGTCAAACTAGCGTCTTAGCATCCTAACCCATATATCCTGCGTCCTTTGCCCGACTTTCCGGAAAAAACAGCTCTGAATCTTATCGCACTATAAGCTGTACGAGCCCTCACCGCCACAAGGTCTCCTTTTGCAGTCGCACTTCGTCGAGCATCGCGGCAGCTGGTTCTCCTGGATCGGCCTCCTGGATGCCCAAGATAGTTTCTGCCGAAGTCTTTGTGTTGTATGTTCTGGATTCTAGACCATTTGCGATGCAGATTTCTTTTTGCACAGAGCAGTGACAGTTCGGATCTAATTCGGGTACTCCGGGGCACCCTGCTGGCAAGGATAGCGGGCCGCGTTTGCTATGCTAGTTCGCGTTTGCTTGCCGAGCTGGCTTGGCTTTGTTGCTGGTGTTCACGCAACCTGATGGATTGTCTTGATGATGCCGCTTCGAAACAGTTCATCTCACCTGTGCTGTGTCCGTTACGAAGGCTTTGTCATGTCTCCCGGTTCGACCAAAACGAACCCGGCCCCGAAGCAAAAGGACAGGAGACATGGTGATGAGGGCGACCCAGTGCAGACATGGTAGTGTGAGGTAGCAGACATGTCTCCAGTTTTTATATTTAGCCACCTGTCTACGGTTCACGGTGGAACACCCTTTACGCATCCATCTGTCTATCTATGTATCTATCTACCTATCTGTATACGTACATACAAGTTCGAACATGGTATGGGTATAAATATTCATAGAGCTAGAAGTAAGTATATATATATATATATACATACATACATACATACATACATGCTTATGTTTCTACACCTATACACAGCCGAAAATTGACAAGCTTGGCGCAGGGACCTCAAGGTGCCTACCAGGTCCTGGTGTGCCTACGAGCTGCTTGGACCGCGACGGCTTGAGGGATTTAGGTTCGCGGTGGAGTTTGCGGGCCTCTCATGTGGGAGTTTCCGAGAATAGGGGACCCTAATATGGCACCCTAAAAAGCAGCTTCCTTATTATCAGGACCCCAAAACAAGGTACCCCTAATTTTCGGAAACTCCCATGTTTGAGGCTTCAGGTTTCAGTCGTTGCAGGTCTTTCGTAGTGAGGGCTTCCGGTTTTAGTCTGGCGGCGCTGCCCGGATTTAGTTTGGTAGTGCTGTTTCCCAGCTGATCAGCAGAGTCCGGGTTCAAAAAGAGGGTTCATAGGACTTAGGGCCTTTGGTTGAGGGATAGAGTCTGAAGGACAGAGGTTGGGAATACGGAATTGGGGTCTTGTGCTGGAGGCTTGGGGTTCTTCTGAGAGTTTCAGGGCACCGTAAGGACTATCCTTGTACAACACGGATAAACCTAATACTTTCGATAGGGTAATATGGTGTTATGTCAGGTTTTATCATTGCTGTCTTCAGCCAGATGAAACCAAGACTTGCTATTGCGACGAAGTTCGCCATGCCGACATTCCTCTGGCCTCATCCCGGCTCGGACGTTGAGAAGCTTCGGAGATACTCGGCTATGATCAGCTTTGCAGACTGGCCCGAAAGGTCGTAGAGATTGCCATTCTGCAGAGGAGGCAGTTAGCGCGAATATCAAACACCCCTGGATGTTGCAGGCATCAGCTTTTCAGTCATCCGAATGCGTCGGAATCCGTGTACGGGCATCGGTTTGGATGTCTAAGGAAAGGTCAAGTCCCTCGACCTGCGTGACGCAGTCGCCAGCAAGAAGGAAGACGAGGAGTCCCCCATGGGGTGGAGGTATAAATGAGCCAACTGTACTAAATGAGTGAGATGAGTTATTGAGAATGTAGGTATATTCATATGTAAACTCTATGTATATGTCTTTATTTCAGATGAACAACAATATGTACAGTGACACGGGAGTCATTTCTGTGACATGGGATACTTCTGGTGAACGGTGAACAGCAGCTGAGTCCGCGACCGCGGAGCCTGAAATCCCAAATCCGAAACCCAACGCCTGGGATTTTAGGGGACTTTGGGGTTTTGCTTACTATAAGGGGCCTTACTAATTACCTATACCATGTTGGGATTTCCTTATTGTACCTATGGCATCATCTGTTGCCTCTGTGTCAGTGTGCAGCGAAGGAGCGGATCCGCCAAGAAATCGAAAGCTCCGAAGGCGCAGCAGGGATATATATATATATATATATGTGGGCATTTCGGTCAGATGTCTTTGTCTTTGGAGCTTCACGGTGGCCGAAACTCCGCTTGCGCCGTAAAATCGCGAACTTCGACGTTCTCGAGCGTGTGCGTCATCTTGGGAGGCTATGACAAGCTCAACTCTCGCTTCCAATGCATCATGGAGCCTTGGAATTGAAGCACCGTGGACAAGGCAAAGTCTTTGCGGAAAAGAGACCTTTCACCATCGTGGTTGAAAGGCACCAGAAGGCACCAGCAGATGTCGCAGATGCCGGTGTTTGTGCCTGCAGATGTGCGATCGCAAAGCCTACGTCCACATTGCTTGCAACACAGACAACCAACAGCGATACCGGATGACGTGGGTGCGGTTTTGTGCGTCGCCACTGATGAGCTTGTCGATTTCTGTTGCGATGCAGTTCTGGTCCACTTACGCAGACAGACAGATGGAGAGGCAGAGACAGACACAAACATAATTTCAGGCCCAGTCTACAGCAACCTCGATGGATCGAGACAGGGTGTCGTACGAAGAAAGGCCGGAATGCGACTGAGAGTCAAAACTAAAAGCCGGAAGCGATCCCAGAAGACCTCAGCCCACGCCAGTAAAGCCTCTTCCGGACGAGCCGTAGATGCGGTACCAACCAAGGAGCTGACTCTGAACTTCTACTCCAATGCCATGTCGCAGGCACGGTGGAAGAACCCACATCTAGAACCTCGAATCTAGGCCTCTAGGCCCCATGTAGTAAGATCCTTCGTCTCAGTACCCCGCACTAAGCACCCAACTTTCACGAAGTTAAGTCCTTAACTCAGGTCAGCCTCGCATAGGCATGAACGGCTCTTCTGATAGTATGGGGTCTGATTACTTCAATGGTATTTCTGATATCCCCTTTTAGTCCTCATTGTGTGTATACTGCAGTTTCTGCACCAAAATGCTGGAGCTGCTTTTTCGCACAATAGGTGGTTTCGATTTAACGCCATCCTTTGAACGAGGAGGACTCCCGTGTCATGTGCTGGTTGATCGCAGAGGGTATCGTCCTGTGCGTGGCGCTGTGCAGATCGCCTCTGGCACACATTAATAGTATTCGTACTAGTATTAGTATCAGTATTGCTATTAGTATTCGTATTAGTATCTCGATTCGACGGCCTCTTTCACTTCAGGGGTAGCAGCTCCTGGGTCGTAACGACCTGGGCTACCGATACCGATCTGCCCCGCCTTGCACCGAGCAGAAGACCATACTATAGGGATTACCTAGAGGCTCCGTAGTAGTTCCTTTTTGGGGTTACTTTATAGGATTCTAAATATGAACCCCAAGGGGAACTACTATGGAGCCCCTGGGTAAATATTGAAGACGACGATGTGCATGATGCCCTCTATAAGTATAGAGTCGGAATCACATGACAACGGATTGCCTCGAAGATTGTAAACAGGTGGCGGGCCTCACCCAGCAGATGGAAGAGGCGGCAGCCGCGAACGATGCGTCCAAGCAGGCTCTTCATGTTCATGTCTCCTGACCATCCCGCAAAACCGGAACCCAGAGCCGACCGTTGGCAGGCCTTGGACATATGCAGGGCATGGAGCCCATTTCTGTAAAGGCTAGGAATGGAGCCACTGTGTTGCGAGGCTTGCTGCTCAACCAAGAAGAGCAACGAGAGGTAGGGGAGCGGCAAATCAACCAGCTACTCCCACACTGTTACTGCATGCTCAGTTGTATGTGCGAATCTCTACTTCTACGTACATGCGGCTATACAGCCTATACAGATACATAGACGCAAGCGGGTGTGAATTCATGCAGGCATTCGCGCCCACAGACACATGCATACGTGTTCATGCACATGTGTACACACACCCATGTCCGACAAGTTTGTATACCATGCATGGATGGGTGGATGGATGGATCGATCTGTTTGTCGATCTTTCATTTATTCTTCTACTCATTTGTCTATCTATCTATCTATCTATGTACCTATGCATGTAGACCATGTATGTGTATATGCACGCTCGTATCGAACCTATTCATGGAGGGAAAGATTTTAGCATACGCACATCGTATGTGCAGGGCCAGATGGGGGCAGGCAAAAAGACAGACACGGCCAGACAGACACAGACAGAGCAGATTGCAAGCGGTGTGTTTCGCCTGCTCGGCCCCACATGACAGGCCGCTCTGAAAGCAGCACGGGACGCTGAGTTGCGCCGTCTCGAGGTCGCTTGATGCTCCCAACGCCTTACGTCATGGAAGTTTAGGTTGGGAAGCTGTAAGCTCATCGGTTATGTGTGCGGTGTTGCTTAAAGCTTTGATGTTTGTTCAAGGTCTTCTATGCCCCCGGCTACAATTGCAGAGATCTTTGGGTTGTAAACTGGCATGTGATGCTGCAGGTCGCCGTTGGTTAGGCTTGGGCTAGAAATCTGCCATCGCCTCCTACAGCAACTACTTTAGGTTTTCGAAGTTTCGAAGAATGTCTGATGGCTTGGCCTGGAAGACAAAGTATGGCGAGCTGGTCATCTCATCGCAGACAACGAGAAGTAGCCTGTGGAACGTTGTTTTGTCAGGGCCATACTTGGCGACATGTTGACTCAAGACAAGATGGCAGTGCCATTGGTCAACACCGCAGGATTCGGAGCCTTTTGTATAGCCACGGCAGGTTCAAAGCATGGAAAACTTGCAGCTGCATCGATCTCTGTCGTTCTGTGAAATCACCACATCCGGAGATTTATTTTGTCAACTTCCGACAAACAACCCCATTTCTCAACGCTTCGGTAGTCTAAGCAACAGAGACGCTTAAGCAAAACTCTGAGCCCTGAACAAGATCTCCCGCTAATGTTTGTTCAGTTTGACAGCAGGTAGCATACGCCGAACTCAGACGCCTCGCCCGGACTGCCCAAGTTGCAACAGAGTCGAAACAAGGCTGTGAGCGCCGAAACAGGACAACTCAACCCCTCTGCAGACGTTAAAACGGGTCGCTCAACAAAACACAGAACAACCCAAGTCAAACCCAACAGTTGGAAACCAGGTCTCTCACAGTGCGGAGCAGCGGGCAGCACTGCTGACAGGACGCTGTCGAGAGCTCGAGGAGGTCGTCTCGGGCACAGGGTTTAGGGGTTTATAGGACTTTATAAGGTGTAGGGTAATAGGGTTAAGGGTTTGAGGCCTTTGAGGTATGGCTTGGGCTTAGGCCTTCTGCGGTTCGGGATGTAGCTCTCCGGGTTTGTATCAGGAGGCATGAGTGTCAGGGGACAAAGCTTGGGACCTTTTGGTTTTGGGCTTCGAGGGTCCGGCGGATGGAGTGTCAGGTTGCGCCCTGTAGGCACCTGCATGTCAAAGCCAGAGCCATCATGAGACTAACACTTATATACGGACTCTGGAGTGCCGCTTTATAGGGTTTCGGTATCAATCGCAAGGCTTTGAGACAGGGAATCTGGGCATCTATGCATGCCACCCCACTGAAGGGGTTTAGGGTTTAGAGTGCAGCGCGGAGCGAGTCAGCTGTCCTGGCGTGACGTTGCAAGCCTGTTGCAAAAGGGAATCCCACATCCCCGTCGCGAAACAGAACGTCTTCAGCTTGAATGTAGAGGGTCAACTTCAGCCCTGAACGTCAGAAGAGGGTTTCAGAATACTTCATTGTGCGCAACTGTATACCTATGACCCCGATCAAACCCACATAAAGCCCACCAGTGGAATGAAGGATCGAAAGACTCAACTCTAAGCCTAAACCCCTAAATCCTAAACCCCTAAACCCCTATGGCTTGAGCCAAAATGGCCGTAGCCATTTTGGCTCAAGCCATTTTGGCTCAAGACTGACAAGGACTTCTTCAACTGTGCGACAGCTGCCCTGAGCTCTCCCTCCCGTCTTTAGCCTTGGGGCTTGGTCCAAGATGCCTGTGGATGGCGGTGGCGATGATCTCATGAATCCTGCTACTCAGGCCCTCGGTGATGCCACGACAGATGATGATGACAGTCCTCTTGCAGGGGCTGCCACGGGGGCCCACTTCGGTGGGTCCATTGCTGAGGCCCCGAAACCCGTCCATTTTGGAGGACCTGTTGCTGAAGCTCTGAACCGTGACGACCACAGGGCCAAGGAAGAGGCACTTCGAGACGCTGCAAGTGCTGCTGCTGCCCTTAAAGCCGCCCAGGGAAACATGGAGATTCCCAACCTGAACCCTTATGCGCTGACGCCCGCTACCAGTGTAAACCCTACGCGATCCGATGGAGCCCTCCTAGCCACTCCAAAAACTAAGCCCAGAAGGGATAAACAGGTCGAAAGCCCCGAAAAGAAGCCCAAAGTTGATAAACAGCGTAGAGGCCTTGACCCTCCCCCACTCTTTGGGGGCGGTAGTGCACCCAGCAATTTACCCGCAGCCAGGCCCACGGAGAACCCCCAGAGGGCAGGACCCGAGGTGTACCACTTGGACCCCAACACCCCTCCCACCTGGGTCAAGGACCTGCAGAATATGGTCGCTACAGGTCAGAGGGATTTACTGTCTGAGCTGCAAACCCATAAAGCACATATCTCGGACGTTGCTGCACAAGTTCAGGGGATTGATAGGAAGCAGGAGGCCTTGCATCGTGCGCAGGGGGACATGGCTACTCGCTTAGACAACATGGAAGCAGAAGTCAGGGACCTTAGAGCTAGGTCCAGGTCGGTAAGCCCGGCTCCTCATCGAGCTGCCGAACAGAGCCCCCGGGGCTCGACAGTCGCTAGTACCCTTGGAGGCAAACCTGTCATTGATGACTTACAAATTGTCATTGGTGGTTGGGATGAGGCCCGGCGTAGTGAAGCTGAAAGGGAAGTCAGAGTTCTCTTCGATAAGATAGACGCAGCGCCCCTCCTTCATAACATCACCATACCCTTCGTGAGGACCAAGTTTGCACGCGTGGAGCTTCTTTTCACCAATAGCAACCTCGGAGAAAGGAGGCGCATTCAGAACCTCACCATCCAGGCTCTGAAAGAGAAGCTCGAGGATTACGTCAGCTGCATCCCTTGACAGGAGCGTGCTAAGCTTTGGGTTACACGCAACAGAAGTAAAGACGAACGAGAAAAAATCAGAGCCCTTGTGAGCATCCGCAACTGGGCAAAAAAGCACCTATCGGAGCTTTTTATTGACCTCGACTGGTCAGGTAAACTCTGGATCCGCTCCGAACAAGTGTTGTACTGGCATCGCTATCGTGAGCCAAATGACAATTCCATGATGTTGACGAATGTCGCTGGTGATGAAACTGGCTGGTTCGTTGATGTCAGTCAACTCGGTAGGTTGTTGTCGCTCAGCCCAGATCAGGTCCGAGATGAACTCCAAGGTTGACTAGGGCAACAAATCAGGGCAGGAACGGGCACACACAGAAGTCATGCATGCAGAATTCAAGAATTCACATCGATCACGTGGAATCTCCATGGGAAGCACTTGTCCTCAGTCAAGAACCTTTGGGATGGAGTTGAGGATCCGTTTGAACTTCTGCTCTTCCAGGAGGTTGGAGGCTTTTCGGATGTCCCCGAAGGGGATTGGCGCACAGACGACATTGACATAAGTGGCCAGGCCTACAAGCTGTTTGTTTATCAGACCCCCCTGGCCCACAGAGCCACGGCCCTGCTCTTTCGGGCGGACCTAGACCTGCAGGTAGTTGCTCGCCACCCCTTCAGCACAGGGTTTATTCTGCAGTGTAGGGCGGAGGGGAGACACTTTTGGCTAGGGACAGCCCATCTCCCACATCAACAACGACCCGACGCCGAGGACGTTTGGTTGTCTGACATTTCTAGGATCGACGAAGTCTTGTCTCGGTCGCGCTATCATGACATCATCTGCATAGGAATGGATGCGAATCAACATGTTCTGAATTCAAACCCTTATTTCCCCGCACTGGCACGCCTTCAACTCCTTGCCCGACATCGCGGACTGGAATTCAATATGCCTCTTGGTTGCACTTGGACTGCGCGTAACGAATTCAGCACGATTGACTGGTTTATGCTGCGTTGGCCCATGGTAGAAGTAGACTTTCATCTCAGAGAAGACTTCCGGCGGGCCTTGCCTTCGGATCATAATGCACTTGTTGCGGTATTTCGGGGCAGGACAGGCCTTCGCTTTCGACCCCCGAGACCACGACATGGCTGTGGTCGGTGGGGAATCACCTCCGCCCCCTTTGAAAAAGCAGCAGGTGACTCTTCGTTCCTTCTGACACAGGAATCCTTTGCCGAACTGTGCCAAAAGCACTCTTTCAGGCTACCCTCCCGCCGATACAAGGACCCTCCGGAAATCAAGGACCTGATCCGTCGCAGGAAAGTCTGTGGCGACTTTCGAGAAAGGGAGGAACTTGCCACAAAGATTGCCCAGGACCGCATCCTGGCACAAAAAAAGCACAAGTTGGATCTTTTGGAAGCAGCCCGCAGCGGAGACAGAGGTGCGATCGGACACCTACGTAGGAGCTCAATGCAAAGCTTCTCAGATGGGAGCCTGCTTGAACGGCTAGGAGGGCACGACCAGGCCTGCGAACAGGTAAAGTCCTTCTATGAGGCTAAGTATAACAGACCTCCTGCCGAGGGCCCCGTTACGGAAGTCCAGCAAGAAGCCCTCGTCTCTAAACATGCGAATGGCCCCCTGGATCCCATTACAGATGAGGAGATCCGTGACGCACTCAGTAAAGTGAAGGTTTCTACGGCGACGGGATTGGATTCGGTATGTTATAGTGCGGTTCATGCTTTTCATCAACAGGACAGCCAAGGAAAGTTGGCATCTTTCTTCAATCGAATCCTTGGGGGTGAACAACAGGTCCCGCAGGATTGGCTTGTGGGAAAACTCTGCCTCCTCCCCAAAGTACAACGGCCTTCCAAGGTTCAGGACCTTCGCCCCATCAGCCTCACGCCATGTTTAGGCAAATTGTTCAGCAAAATCATTATGCGCCGCCTTAGGAAGACCCTCCCACCATTCCAGGCTGGCCAGCATGCGAACCGTCCTGGAACCCAAGCCATCGAAGCAGTAGCAGCAGCTCAGTCTACTCTGAAGGTATACAAGCAGGCTACAGGCCGACAGCTCCTGGTTTGTAAGTTGGACATCAAACAAGCCTTCGACACATTGTCCCATCAGGCTGTATGGAGGTACCTATATGACTCGGATCCTAGCAAGGAGTGCCTTGCGCTCTGGCGCCTGTGTTGTGGGACTAGCGTCAGGCTCCAGCTGGGCTCACGGGCGTGGTCCCAAAACCTCCAACGGGGATTGCTGCAAGGAACCTCCTACAGTGCCGATCTCTTTTCCCGGGTCATTGACCACTTTTTAGGTGGCCTTCTACGTAGATGGCAAGCAACTCAACCTGAAGTCTTTGCTCAGTTTGCACTCCCACATGCTTTACTCTTTGCAGACGATATTCTCCTGTTTGGGGTTGATACGCAGGACCTGCAACGAAAGCTCCGCGAGCTGCAACTGACGCTAGAATCCATAGGCCTCCAGCTGAACCTCAATAAATGTAGCATCCTGGATAACGAAGACGGGACCACGCCAGGAATCTGGGGACGCAGGGCAACCGCTCCTGTGACAGGGTCTGACTCGCTGCTGTACCTTGGAGTTCCCCTGAGCTACGGAGGCAACGCTCTTGGAGGACTCGGGGTGTCGTTGAGCAAAATGTCTTCTGCCTTCTTTGGACTAAGAAAGCTCTTCGACCATCCTGATACCCCAGTTTGTGAGAAGCTGAACCTTTTTCAGACCTACATCACTTCGAAATGGTCCTGGTGTGCTCCGGTGATCTATCCCAGTGTCAAAGCGCTCCGCAGCCTGGAAGCTTTTAAACACACCCTATTACTTTCTCTGTTGAAGCTGCAGGTGGACCCACTCCAACCCTTTCTTGCTAATACTCTGGCAAGACGCAGAGCGGTTAAAGTCACGTGTGAAGTGCACAAATCTGCTCGCTGGGGAGAACTGTGGCTTACACGCCTATGGACGTTCTGGGGCCATGTCTTTCGTAGCCAGTCTGACTTGCCGATCCAACGTATCGTAGCCCGCTGTTCTACATGGCGAGTAGTGACAGGCAGAGTTCCTGCTGCACCCCTCAAATACTTTATCCCGCGAAAGTTGCAGCTCGCCTGGGACCACCTGAAAGGATCTTCGCCGTGGCATGATGTGCATGGTCTTGCCCAGGAACGGCCCTTGTGGGAAAAGGCCCTCAAACAGTGGCTCCATCGTTGGGGCTATGGACATTCAGAGATTTCTCGGCTTCCAACCAACTATCTCTGTGATCGTCAGCTGCTCCTAGTTGGTAAGTCCCTGGCCATCCTGAGGCCCGCGAGGCTCTTTCCTGAAGAGCCCTATAGCAGGGAGCTTCAGCATATCATTCGTGGCGTACCTAAATCTGCACAATGGACAGTTTGGGTCAGTTTCGGGGAAGAAGGGACGGAGATTCGAGTGCTGCCTCCGACACGTGCTAAGGCAAAAGTAGTGGTTTTGCAGCTCCTTTCTGAGAACCCCCTCCTTCTGAACAGGAGACTCCAAGCATGGGAACTTCTCAGGAGAGTTTGGCAGTGGATGCCCACACTCTGGGAACAAAAGGCGGCAGTTTTCCTTCCCTTGCAGGCGTTCGCAGCGCATATATGGTGCCACCAGGTTCCTATGCACCACCTTTGGCGGGCTCACAGCCTCGACACTTTCGAAGTAGGACAGGACCTTTTGTCGTTCTGCTATCTGCACCCCAAGAAGACCCCAGACTGGCTGTGCAAGCATCTCGCGGGACCGTTCGGTCCGTTCCCAGGTGACAGGAAGTTTCTTGCCAGGTTTGCGGATTTCAGCAGGGCCTCGTACCACTGTGACATCCCTAGCAGTTTTCCGCTCGCCCCTGCTCTCCCAGCCATTGTGGACCTCACTTGATGATGCCAGGCTTTTGCAGAGGTTTTGTAGTCCTACGCTGTGCGTGCTGACCACCACCACCGACACTCAGTAGGACATGTCCCTGTAAGCTTTTGGTAGCTTTTCATGTACCGCTGCGAAGCATGCGTAGGACTCAGCAAAAGGGGGGGGGGCGGGACGGACCAGAAATGTCTTCGCCGTGCACCTGTAGCAACAAACTCTCGAGTGCCCTTGACCAGCCAACGTGTAGCCTGGTAGCCATGCCGGTGGACTGGGCAGTGCAGGCCTTGACCGTTGCGCTCACACTCCTGATCGTCTTAGTGGTCAGGGATGTTCAGGCTTGGCTTAGCCCGGTGAGCCCAAAGCCAGTGCCGAGACCCCCTGCTGAAGAGGAGAAGCCTGCTCCTGAGGAAGACAAAGATGTGGCGTCTGCGACAGCACCACAAGTGACGTCGCCATCGCAGGACGCCACGCCTGCTACAAAGGATGACTCTGTGCAAGACTCAGGCAGTGCGGTGCCAGATCCTGTCAAAGTTTCCACTCCGGTGGCAGCGCAAGGAACGCCTACTGCTGATGGGGACGGCACAGACCAGACTAGCCAGTCTGACAACAAGCCGACGGGCCCTGATGCAGACTCCGGGTCAAAAAAGGCTATGACCCCGGAGATGATGATGCAGGAGTTGCAAGCTTGCCACACCACGGTCAAGAACTTTGCAGCCAACATGTCCCGCCTCCTGAACGGCATCACGAGTGTGGCACCAAACTTGGCCAAGGTCCAGACGGAGCTTGAGAACAACCAAAAGGCGGCAAGCACGCTTGAAGCTGTGGTTGAGAAGGCTGTGGCGAAGATGGACAAAGGACCACAGGATGACCTCAAGGAGCTGATCAAACGCATCAGCTCCCTAGAGAGCATCGTGGGGGCTGTGACGGCCAAGATGGGGACTATGTCACAGAACGTGGATACCTTTGGCAAATCCAGTGACTCCCAGCTGAAGGACGTCCTCAAAAGTGTATCTGCAGTGGCGAGCTCGGGCAAACAGCAAGGAGTGGATGTGAGTGGCTTGGTCACCGCGAAGAGCTCCATGCTGGAGTCAGGCCTGAAGGAAGTGCTTCGGAAGATCACGCAGACGGACTATGATAGCTGCACGAGCATCACTCAGCATGTGAAGGATGTCCATAACCAGGTCTACGACCTGGGCCAAGAGCTCTTGGCAGCACTCCACTTCCTGCAGGGGGAAGCTACCACGCAGAAGGAGAACCTCTACCAGCTGGCGACTGCCGTTGCGGACATTGCCGAGCAAGTCAGGGTCATTCGCGACTATTGCGAAAGACCGGTACCGATGGCGGTCAGTGCCCACCATGATGAACCTCCGATGCCACCGCCAGCATATGCGCCTCATGTCGGACAGGGGCCCCGACAGCTCAACTTGAACACTGCCTTGCCGGCCAGAACGACTGGAGGGCTACCGCAAGTCCGGGTGGATGTGGGCAATGGTCGTAGCATCACGATCCCCTTGAGCGGAGGCATGTGAGTGACAGCGCTCGGGAGTGAGGTAGCCAGTCATGCATGCTTTCGGCATACCAGAGCTTTCTATGTTGCTGTTTTCAGTCCGACTGCATGCTTGCACTGTGGCGCCCTTGCCAGAATTTGTTTGCTTGCATGACTTGAGAACTGTTTTGACCTGCATTGCACTGGTTGCACTTGAGTCCTTTGCATTTGAATTTGCGACATTTTGCATGCCCTTTTGCATGCCGAACTGGAGGCTCCCGTCGCCCGCTGTCACCAGGTCGTAGGGGCACTCCTTGTCGCCAGAATTCGTGGAGCCGCACTTGAAGAGCGTAGGCCTTCTCATAAAGTTCCAGACTTGCATGTGTACTGTAGCCAGCTTGAGCAAAAGACAGGATCCTTGCTGAGGTGTTCGTCTAGGGTGCGGAAGTGAGTGCTCCCAGCCTGCAATAGCCTTTGCATAGGATGAATCTTCTACCAAAGCTTCTGGGCTCCTGCAAGGACGACGCTTAGTGAGCACTCCCACTCTCGCGTAACATGTTCATGCGTCTCCGACCTGCATACCATGTCATAGACTTGACAGATGTTGCTGAGCCTGAAGTTCCGAACTGCGAGTGCACCTGCGAGCCCACGCAACCACAGCACTTAGACTCCTCTCAGGACCAGGACTCTGAAGCAACCCTGGAACAGCCCCTGAAACGCCTCAGAAAGCCAACAAGCCAGGACATCCCCGAGGATCTACGGACACCCCCCCACAACCCGAGGTTGCCGTCGTTCGGTTTTTCAGAAGACCACCTGCTACGAGCCGCGGAGTTCAGGGCGTACAGACTACTGAGTCAAGAACAACCACCGGAACGTGAGGACTTGGTGAACCTTTTTCGGATGGTGCCGCGTTCGTACCGTCGTCGTGCTGGTGGTGATAGAGATGCTGTAGGTACATACGTCGTGGCCGGATGTAACCCTCGGCATAACGACTGTCCTTTGGCCACCTGCACTGAAAGCCCGTACTTCGTGATGCTTGTGAACAGGTTCATTCGTAAGCTTGCCCCAATGTTGCCCTACACTAATTTCGTCCTCCGCGAAGGCTTTGTAGGACAACCCCACCGGGACACAAAGAATGGACCCTTCTTCTCGATGATTGTGAACCTGCATGAACCGACAGGCGCAGAAGGGCTCTGGGTACAGGACTCCCTAGGCACATGCTTCAAACAGCACCTTGGAAACCTAGTCCCAGGCCGAGTCGAGGACATCTCGGAACCCTACTTTTTCAACGCTAGGAAACTTCTGCATGCAGGACATCTGGCCCCTGGGGTAGACCCAAGTAACAGAGTTACACTGGTTGCCTTCACAATCCTCAATGCTAAGAATGTAAGTGATGACCTACGGCAGCATATGGTAGGACTGGGCTTCCATCTCCCGAGTAGCACGATGGTAAGACAGGCCACTCTTGGGTTTCTGCCGAACGACTTCGGCTGCAACAAAAACCCAGACCTCAAGCAACTCAATATCCTTGAAGCCCTAGCCCTTAGTCGAGAACGGCAGGCTCTAGAACAGTCCGCAGAGAAGGTGACGACGGAGCAACAGAAGCGATGCTCTTTTCAGGACCTCATGGTGAAACCCATTCTCATTGAGGACACCCAGAACAGCTAGGTCGCGCCCGCAACCCACGAGCTTACAGTGTGTAATACACTTGCCCGTGCAGGACTTGCCTGGTATGCCCTTTTGCAGGACTGTGAATTTGATGCATGTGCTGGACTGTGAATTTGTTGCATGGATGCATGATGCATGATGAATGATGTCTGTGATGGTGCTATGGGGTACGTCGGTCTTGGAACTCCTGTCGTCTGGTCGCCGGGGAGGGAGTGCTTACGACCTTGCCACCCCCTTTTCTAGCGGGTTTTACCTTTGTTCCCTTTCTCTCCTTAATGAAACCACCAACCCGCGACCCCGCTGCAGCCATGGGACTGCCTTTCTGCGAAGCGAAGCCTGCTATGGAAACAAGCAGATGAGCACCTCCTTATCTGCCACGCTGCAATGACACGCAGACTGGAAGTGGACGGGACCTCAACTTGTGAGCTCGAAAGGACGCCAGGTTCCACACCGCATGCGTGGGCCTGCCCTCGACTGTGAACGAATGCGGAGCTCTGGCCACGCCTGTCCTGTCGGTGTGCTGCACATCTCCTGGTTGGCGAGCATACATGTTCTGGTCTCGCGGGAGAGCGACACCTTTCTCTCTGCACACCTGCCTGTTTGGACCAGTGATTGCGAAGTTCCGACTGCAGATGGCCAGTACAAGTGCCGTCGAACTGCGGGCAACACAAGAGAAGGCTGTCCATTGGAGGTTTTACAGATGCACCGCAGATTTTGGGGGCACACAAGAGAAGGATGTCCGTTTGACGACTGACAGATGCACGAGAAACCCTGCCCGACAACCGCGAGTTCGGGAAGCTCTGCACCCACCGACGCGAACGCCCGAGCCTTGTGATCTGAGCCTGACAGGTAATTCTGTTTCACCAAGTTCCACCACCCACAGCACAGGTTGCTCTGTTGGAATCTACAAGAGGCTTCAGTGTTCTCAAGTTCCACGTAGGCTAGTGCGTGCCTCATGTAGAATTTGCAGAGTGACGCAAGCTCAAAGTAGCCGTAGTAGTCAAACAATGTAAAATCTTGCTTTCCTCTGCTGACCGCCCTAGCTAGACTCGAGACACTCGGCGCCCTAACCTTTCTAATGTCACGGTCTGGGTCTTACTGTGTTCAAGTTGATCGAAGTGTTGTTTCGTGGCGACGAGTGACCATCACTGATCCTCACACCAATCCTTTGCTATGGAGCCTGATGTTTTCCAGTTTATCGATTGGCCTCGTGGTGAACTGGCACAAGTGAGGATCGATCTTTGCCTCTTTTCACACCGACCTCGCACCTAAGAACCTCGCCTGGCTTGTCCGAGTTGTGAGAGCGTAAACCCCTAGACCCTGACCTGCAAAAGCTTAAACCCCTAAACCCTAAACCCCTAAACCGCCTCGCCTGGATTGTCCAAGTGTGAGCGCCGAAACCCTTTTTGAATCACTCTCAGGAGGTCTTAGATCTTCGAAAGCGCCTCAAGGAAGCCGAGGCGCAGAGCCAGGCTCTTTGGCCGCTGGATTCTGGATGCCTTAGCAGTAGCAATTAAAAGATAATGCTAACCAATGTGATAGTGGTAGTTATAGTTATAGTACTACTGATGAGAAGAATGGTACTTAGTATAATAGCAGTTAGTAATAACTTAATGGTAATCAATCGTAATTAGTAATAACAGTGATAATAATACTAGTAATTTGTAATAGTAATTTGTAGTAACAATGGTGATAACAATGGTAATCAATAAAAGCGATGAGTAATTATTGTGATGATAGTACCGGTAATAGTAATCATGCACAACAGTAGATTTACTCAATAATATGAGGGGCATCCGATATTCTTAGGCTTGGAGGTCTTAAGATGCTTTCGGGGTGTCAAGGCTAGGGGCTTGCGGGGTTTGGGGTTCTTGTGGGGTCTGCGGCTCTTGGGCATTCGGACCTTCGGACTTCGGGCTTTCGCGTGTGACCAGAGAGTTCCGCTGAAAGGCTGAGCAGGTTACAATGGCGAAACACATCCAGCGTGCGAGGCTGCCGAAGCCCTATATACTTGGGAAACAGCTCGTTGAACGTTTGCGGGTTTAGGATGTAAAGGTTATGGCCCGGGGTTTTGAGGATGCCGTGCCAGAGTTGAAAGTACAGGGGGTTAAGGGCCGGCAAGGGATTCGGCGCACACGCCGCAGTGGCACATGAATCTCATTTTGATGCAAAGCCCTCGACGTTCCACAGAGACACGGAATGAAAGAACTTTGCCAAACCAACCTGTCGCTCATCTAAGCACGCATCCAAGCTCACGCTGTATCGGGTGTTCACCGACAAGTCTAAGTGCTTCTGGTATGATTCGTGCCATGTAATAGGTGGAGAGTGTAATGGTCAATGAGCGTAAGACTCCTTAGTTAGCAGCTAGCAGTGCTCCAGAGACGGCCCACACTGTTGGAGAGGAGAGTCGGCAGAACCGAAAAAGGCCGGCATGGCGACGAACTCAGAAGCCCAGACTTGAGGCTCCAAGGCCACTCCAGCAAGAAATTCAACCCAATGTACCTGCATTAAAAACAAGCTGTTTAGTTATGGTCGTTTTTTTTGAGGACAAAGATCCATTGAAATCTCAGTCTTATGGAACGATGAAGCTTCAGTCGCACAAGGCTCCTTCGAACGTGCCGGAGGTGCCAGTTGTCAGGACTGCTGTTCCTTCAGCTCGCAGCTGCGAAGCCTCGACCTGCAAGGTTCTAAAGTCCAGCTGGATCGATGTAAAATGCAGCTTATAGCATACAGTATAGGTGGTGTGTCAGTCCTGGACCCCAGCAGTGTGTAGAAGAATAGCCTTTTATAGGATTTGGGCCATTATGTTACCTACTTTTGGCGGTCTAGGGTTGTATATAATACATTTTTAAATGGCACAATATATTATGTATATATTATTGTTCTTCTTCTTATTATTATTTTTATAATTATTGTTATTATGTATCTGTGCCCTGCCTGGCATTTGCAGCCGAAAGCCGGATCCAGGACGTCTGGTTGCTTCCGCTCACGACGGCGATTCCACAGGTTCTGAGACGCTGTTTGGGCGCACCCCTTGAGTCATTGTAGTATGACAGAGTAGCGAACTATAATGTACTATAAATGCTATAATGTACTGCTGGCGAATTTCTGATTCCTTTTATCGTTCTAGCAGCCAGGACTCCGCTAGCCTCAGACTCGTGGACTAGCGCTCATACTGTCGCTGCCGGCAGATGCCGGCAGTGAGGGCCTTTGTCGCGATGGGGCGACAATGTTGAGGCATTGCCATTTGTGGGTGTTCGAGATTTTCTGCTAGGGAGCTAGGGAGCTCGTCTAGGCAAATTGTACGCAGATTCGTTGCCACGAGCCCGGCGATGCAAAAGTGCATTCGCAGAATCCGTGACTTGTACTCGCGTCTGCTTTCATGGCCCCAGAGACTCGCGAATGTGTTTCTCATGTTTGCTCTCGGCCGCGATGCCAAAAAGTTGCGCTGTCAATTGGTGTGCTCTCCGTGCGGGCATGAAGCTCTTAGCTGAACGAGGTAACTACGGTTTAGTGTTCTGGCCCTAGGGTTTATGGCTGTGACATCGAAAACTCGAGACTCGAGCATGTTTTGATGGCCGAGCTCGAAGAAGTCCGCCTGCCTCCGCTCCTGCACCATGCCTTTTCTGATCGACCGAGTTCCCGGAACCTGACATTCTATTCACAACCTACTACAATTCGAAGGGCCTGTGTTCCCCGGCTTGCATATTAAGCCGAAAAAAATCACCCTTGTTGCTACATCTTGTCGTCTGAGGCCGACTCATTGCTGGATCCCGGGCAGGCAAATGCACTGGGCCTGGCCACGGCCGTGGGGGCGCCCAGTGTTCAGGAGTTGCTTCAGGTTTCGGGTTGAGGGATCTGGCTTTCGGTGTTTCGGGGTTCAGGGCCAGTTAAGGCAGTCGCAATACGCCTGGATGCAAGAGAGACAGTTGAAAAACCTACGGAGCTGAGGAGGGTTTCGGGCCAAGGGCTTGTAAGGCTTATTAGGGCTCGGAAGGGTCCGGGCTTCTAGGTTGTGCGTAGGGTCTAGGGTATTATGTTCATGGTGGGTGGTGGGGTGTAAACTGAATTGATGTAGTTGTTCGGCTGTGGTGTGTAGCTCTCGTGCCCCCAATGTTGCAACGCAAGACCAAGAATAGCGAGGGTCGCAAGTCTTGGCAGGTATAGAGCCAGGGCACTATCAAGTATCGTTCAATCCCTGAGACGAGGATGTCGTGAGTCACCCCGCTGAGAACTGATCATAGTATACTGTAATGTGTTGTAATATAGGGGCCTTAATATTTAGAATAGGGTTTTGGTGCATATTATGTCATAATTACAGTAAGGAACCACCAAACGGTATTTGTGATTACTTCGGCCCCTATATTAGGTGCTTGAATCCGGCTCGAGGCTCGAAGGTTTGCTGTGGAGCTTCCAGCGTACCCCAATCTCGCCGAACCAGTCTCAATGCTGCTCCCGACTCCAAGATCCCCTAATTAAGGAATATTCCGTAAGTCAGATTAGGGATCCTACCATAATTTAAGGTATATTCCTTAATTAAGGGATATCAGAATCTTCTAAACCCGAAAGATCCCTCATAGATTCCTTAAAGGAACCCGAGGTATGTTTCTTTTTATAGGGACATTGGAGTCACTGGCTTCCTATGCAATTGCTGACAAGAGCGGCAGAAGCCACTTCTCCAAGCCCGCCTCGCGCTTTCCCAGACCCCTCGTTTTCAAGCTTCTTCCCGAAAAGCGAAAGATTGAAAATCAGAGCCCAGTCCTGCGGATTCTTGAATGGCCCATAGTCTGGAACGACTAGAAGTCTCCTGGCCAGTATATAGCCGAGGCTACAGGCAACCCACGACTCATAGAGACCCTCACGCTCACCCCCCTATGGCTCATCAACCCCAATCTCCCGACACTCTCGAGGGACGCCGTAGGATCTAGGAAGTCGCCCAGTGCTCAACCTAGCCTCCGAAACCTACATACAGCGTTTGCAGCAACTGCAGTTTGGAGCAAGAAGTCAAAGATAGACGGTAGCTACTACAACCCTCGAAAGGCCATGTCATATCCTATAGTCCGTCCGTTCGCCCCAGCCTCAGCCGTACCAACCTACAAGAAACGCCCAGTCGTCCTGGAGGCTTCTGTGAACTTCATGCTGCAACGGCAGTCCTTCGCCCCGGGTGCCGGCTTCACTGGGAGCCTTTTGAAACGTTACCTCGTGGCGGAGGCTGGGTTCTTACCTCCACTGGTGCATGAGTGTGCACGCATGCAAGAACCCAAGCTTATGCCTGCACATGATACATTGAAGACAGTCCGTACATCCATACACATATGTGTAAACACATGAGTTTCATGTGTATATAGATACGTATGCATATACTTATCAGTACATACATACATGCATGCATACGTACATACACATACATGCGTATGTATTTTGTATGTATGTATACTGCACCCGCATTCATAAATATGCCCACCTATCTGTCTGTCTGTCTGTCTGTCTGTCTGTCTGTCTGTCTGTCCGTCTGTGTCAACAGAGCTTCCTTGGGCCGTTGCCGCTTAAGCTTGCTGGCTCGAATCTGGTCCAAACCGCCCACGACACTTCCAGAAAGCATGGCTACCTCGTCTCCAGCAGCGGGCAGTGATACTTACCAAGATGAGGACAAGCCAGGCCCGACTGAGAAAGACCGTGGCGACAGCGCTTTTTTGGGGAATTCTGCAGCTCTACAAAAGCTTCATGAAATCAAGCTTTCAACAAGGGCTTTCGGGATGAATGGTAGTGGTGGTTCTGATGATGATCGTCGCTCCTGCTGTCGCTCTTCCGCTTAATCATGACGACGGCGGATGTCATGATGTTGACTCGGTACTAACGGTACCTTGACATGTGCCAGGTTGATGACCGTCCTTATTTGATTGCTGTTGTCGTTGTCCGGATTTTTTTGTTGATTGCTTTGTTGCTACTGCTACATCAATCACCAGCACGGACCTCATCACTCTTTGCGATGGCTGCTTGCAGGTGTAGGTTCCAAAAGCATTTCGGCCTGGCCTAGAGGGCTCCCATCCCGAACACTCCACATGAGCAAAGCTCAGGGCAGCGTAGCCGTGTATGGGCGCAGTCGCAGTGACAGCAGTGGCAGTGCCAGAGTGGTCGTGGTGGCGGTGGTAGCAGTGGTAGCTATAGTCGGAAGAGCAGCCTGCTTGGTATTGTGCTCTATGAGTTGAGTATTGGGACCAGCGAGTAGTTATCTCCAAGTGGGAGCCAAAAGAGTAGTTATCAGACTGATAGCAGCAGGAAGGACACAAAAAGTGTAAATGAGACCAACATCTCCATCACTACCATCACTTGTCCAATCACAATCCCATTCTCCCAGTTGATACAAAAAGTCGCCAGGCCCCTGAATTGTACAACTGAATTCAACCGGGGGGCTTAGGGTGTAGCGCTTTGCCGTGCAGAGCGAGTGTGACACCAACCTTAAATCCTTTCAACCCTAGCTAGGCCAATACATGCTTACCCCTAGGCCCCATAGTAGTTCCCTTTTGGGAGGCCCCTATAGGATTCTATATATGAACCCCCAAAAGGAACTACTTTGGGGCCTTCGGGTAATACAACACACTTGGCGAATTTCTGCTGGAGGTGTTTGCCGCAAGTGCGCCGAGTCTGGCCTGGACTGAACCGCATTTTTGGAGTTGTGTCGGTCTACCTAGACCCCCCAAAAGTAGGCAAAATAATGGCCCAAATCCTATAAAGGGCTATTATTCCACATACTCTTGGGGTCCAGGTACGTGTGGTTTCAGAAAACTGTAAGGATGCCATCACGTCGGACGTCGGGGATTACAGTAGTTTCCTTTATTGAAGCTCCCATTTCGACAACGCCCACGAGCATGTAGAGGCAGGCTCATGGCTACTAGCAGTGTGGTGAGGGTTCTCCATGTGGTTTCTTTTTGCTACATTTTCTAGGGCCCAATCACAGCACAAACTTTACACAATCCCGTGCACATGCATGAAAGCCCACTTGCAAATGGTTAGTAGGGAATGGAAGAATGGTAGCAATAGTAGTCATAGTTGTACCCCATTCCTCCATTCCCTACTAACCAAAGGTAGGTGTAAAGCCACAAAGATCCCTCCTGTAGCTCCATGCATAGCTTGAACGAGGCTGGGCTCGGCAAGTCTTGTGTGAGGCAGTTGCGCGGCTGATAAGTAAGTAATGCATACCCATAGGCTCCATAGTAGTTCCTTTTTGGGTTTCATATTTAGAGTCCTATAAGGCAATAAGTAGTTCCTTTTTGGGTTTACCTTATAAGATTCTAAATATGAACCCCAGAAAGGAACTACTATGGAGCCTATGGGTAGGGCGGTAGTGTTGCAGAGACAGAAATGCTTGGGTGCCTCTAACCAACAGGCCGGGCTAATCCGGCATTGGTCTAGTCTTGGAATCTAGGGCTTAATAAAGGGAGGTCTTGATGGAGTTTACCGGATTGAAACAGCTTCAGTGCATGCCGCCACCTTGTAGGAAACAGATTGTTTCCGCGTGGTGGTGCGACTTCATGGATCCGTGCAACTCCCACAGGGCGCCACAAAAGTTGCCAAAGTTGTTCCTTAGCGTTCCTCAAGATAAGTATGCTGTATAACATGACATCTAGTTGTGCCCGCCTATGTTACAAACTGTACTGTGAGACTTCAACCTGAGCTATTCAGCCGAGTGCGAGTGCTGAAATCCCAAGAGTGTCACCACTGATAAACCGAAGGCCAATACAGCCCCAAAGTCGAACTTTTCAGCCCGCAAGCGCCTTTCGCCCCTACGGCCCTGAACCCCATTTCAATTCCACTTGTTGCAGGACTGTTTTGCTTTCCTGGGCCGGGGTGCGGTGGCTACTGGGCGGGGTGCCTATCAGGCCGGGGTTCGTCCAAACCTTCAACTTCAGCAAAGGAGTCTTCGTATGTTGCCAGGAATCGCAATCGGAGTGCGTGTCGGAACCAGAGAGACATGCCAGAGCGTGAAGTATGAGCCTGGAGCCCTTGAGACTCTCTGGCCAGGCAACACGACAATGCGCGCAGCTCGGCGTGTTTGGTTTGGAAAGCCAAGCTCTGGCTAGCTTCTCGGGCACAGACATGCAGAAGCCTGGCCCAGAGGAGACCAAGCCTTTGTTTCGAAGAGCCCCAGGTGAAAACTGACCAATGACTGCCACTCTGTTGCCTTGAACTCCAAACTCAGATTTCTTCGTCGCTCTCCCAGGGAGTAGCGGTTACTCAGTACTATGAGCGTACCGGAACCGGCTTCCACTAAGGGGCCAGAGTTATGCACAGTTGTTGAGAGACAGAGGGGGCTTGAGTGGGCATCCGAAGCGGCTTCTCTCTCCGAGCTAGGCAGCAGCACGACATGAGGGGAACAAATGGGCTGTGGTAAGTGCGAGGCCTGGAGGTTTTAGACTTCCTCCAACATTACTCATGAACATGATGGTTTTGGGGCTCTTGAAGACAGATCAGAATCATTGAAATCCTCATGAACATGGTGGTTTTGGGGCTCTTGAAACAGATCATTGAAATCGGGATTCGGGAGCCCCAAAATCTGCCAGGTATCCGGTGAAGGAGTCACTCCTGGGCGCTGCAGACAATACGACCCTCGGACTCAGCTTCTCGGGGATCCGCGCATTCCGCGCTGCTGGGAATCCCGTTTGGTGTGACGAGGTACTGTGTTCTGTGATCCGATTTGGTCAGAGTCGCATTGAAACGCCGAAGTTTGAGTGGAAGGTCCTGAAACAGTAGTGCTGGATGCCGTTTCTTGCGGTTATCGTCTCCTGAGCCCATGGAGTTGAGGACCAACTATCTCCACCCCTGGCAGCAGAAGCTCCCAACAGAAAGCCACGTTCCAACCTTCCGCATGCAGTGAATGAGCGCCCCCGCCATCTCATCTAAGTCCGATGCCCTTGGCAGGGAAGACGTTTTTTTTGTGTTGAGCCTGTCACATGGGTTTTTCTCGGATGTATCAAGAGACAACCTGCTTCTGTATGTTGGGGCATTGATGCATTAGGTCTCTGCGGCGACAAAGAAGCCCCATCACCTGATATGGGCACACATGTGCATATGCACATGCAGATGGGTGGACAGATACGGCATGGTGTGGCCCCAGTCTAGTGCCCCAGTCTGCAACTGTACCTTAAGCCTGCAGCAGTGCTAGAAGGTGCTGCTTGTGTTGTTCGTGCCGCGTTCGGTGTACCCGTCTGACTCTCCGCATCAAGCAGCTTCAGTCCGATGTCTGGGCAGTTGTTGTAACAGACCTGCCGAGGTTGTGCGCTGCCATGCACACAAGTAGACGCAAACTTCGGTGGAATGACAAGAGTCAGCCTGTGTATGATAAACCTAGAACGTTTGCTAGCTACCAGCATCAGCATGGAAGCAGCCAGCCTCGGCTTCCAACTTCCAACACTGTGCCGTGGCGTCAGATATGCAGGAGATGTCAATGTGCATCTTCTGCGTATGGCATCCTTTGCAAACGACACAGAACAGAGAAGGCAACCTCATTGTAGCCGGACATGACTTTCGAACTCAGTCCTTGCTGTACTGCCGCACAGCACAATCTAGCCACAAACGAGCGACTACGAAGCCGTAGCAGACCCAGATGCCGAAGGCAGCTGCTCTGAAAAGAGCGACCGCACGTTGGTTCAAGCAGGGGAGTGCAGGGGCTGGTGAGGGCAGAACGACGGCAGTTGCACAGGCCATCATTGTCAGCGTGCAACAGGGCTTCTTCATGTGCCTGCTGCCCGCCCGGTCGGGGACCAAGTAAGGCTGGTCGACTGAAGATTCTGCTTGCAGCATTCCTTTTTTGCTTTCCTTGCGCCAAGTGGCAGAGGCAGGAGAAAACCAGACGCCACAGCACTCCACACACACGGTGCGTAGTCATAGTCTCCGGCGATAAGGCTCCTCCAGAAGCCGCGACAGAAATTGGAATTCCAAACCTCCTTCTGTATTCCTATATAACCAAGTAGTATGCAATCTTGCTGAAATACTTGCGCTGCTAGGTTAGGTCTGGCCGCGGCCTGATTCTGCCCATGCGCCAGAGAAACGACGCCCTCTACCCAGAACAAAGTCAGCCATCAGAGGCCGCGGCAGTAGCACCCATCGATTCCAAAAGCTCTGTAGGACAGCTTTAAAACGGAAGTCCAGATCCTGCTACTTGATAGCTTGGGCTCACGCCTTGTACCAGGTTGTATCTGGCCTCCTTAGCAGATGTGTCGCCGGAGGAGTCCTGGGGCTCAGAAATTGGATGCGGTGAGGTGTGGGACGCATGTTTTCGCAGGTACCGACTCCGAGTCATATCGCTTTTTTTGCTAATATGCCGTAGTTAGCAAGCTTCGCAAGAAACTCATAGCGGCCATCGCGAGCAAATCGCTGGAAAGTGTCGTGTCCCGGGGGCAGTCTCGAAGAATACAGCCAGCTCGGTGAGTAAACTCACAATAGCAACTCCGAATATGCTACATTGTTCTGTTGCAACACTGCCGTCATGCATCCTTTTCAGTGATCTTCAGTTTAGCGTAATGTGCTGCGGGAAGGACCCACGTATGATGGCAGCACTGCGGGCAGCCAGCCAGGTGTCGCACATCTCTGTTGGGTTGTTGAGAGATTCACGGCTTCCACTTCCGCACCAACATCTGTGAAGCCACTTTAAAACTTGAAAATGGGGCTGGTTGCGACTCTCTCTCCACTGCTTCATACAGCTTCTCTAAGTGCGAGCAGGAGGTCTCAGAAATTATGAATCAGGATAGGTTGGCGTGCCCTTCCCCGAAGCAGGCCACGATTTTCCTCGCAGTGTCGTTCCCGCTTCGGAAGCATCGCCGGCGAGTTTGAAGACGATCGCCGGCATAGCAACAGCAGGATGCATGCCGCTGAGTTGTTTTGATTATGTCTCCTGCATGGTGCATGCGCGTTTGCCGCTTCATGTGACGCCGAACGACGTTCATTTGCGTTCATTTTCGTGTTGGCCCCAAGGGCTGACCACTCCGTGTTGTGCTTCAGCATGGCATTATATAAGAATTAACGGTTCTGGCCAGGCACTGGGTCTTCACAGCATCCCAGCTACCACTTCCGGCCGGGACGAGGCGGCTTGGATTAGCTGGATTGACCTAGCCAGTCTGCTAGTTTCCGATGAGGCTGCAGCGGTTTGGATTCAGACTTTCAGCTGTGCAGCTGTTGGTTCTCCCCCTGTCTGTGTCTCGCTTCCTCTGCTTCCCGCTGCAACTCTCTTTCTTTGTTCTCCCCATGTGCTTATGCATGTCTGTGGGCATGTGCGCTTCCATCGCTGCACATCAACCTTGCATGCTCATGTGCGTGCGTACGTGCCTCCCACACATACAGTACACTCATGCATGCACACATATTGCGGTGGCATCTGTCCCGCACGCCTAATAGAGCAGTTGTACATATATGAAGATGCATATGGCTCTGCATCAGCCTGCAAGCAGGTACATATATGTACAATGCACCTTCATCCGCAACTGCCTGCGCCGACACGTTCATACACCTGCGTGCGCTTATCTCTGCATGTGCACAGACACGTGCACGTGACTACCTGCATGTTAGAATCGATGTTTCATGGTCGTAGTTAGTTTGTTACCTTTAGTTCTCCGACCCGTATGCACGACACGCTGGGCTTGTGTGGATTTTCTCACAATCCCCCAGATGGAAACAGGTCCTCCAACTTTTCGAAGAATGCGACGAGCAGGAGGTTACAGTGCTGATGCCAGGATAATTACAGTCCGCCCGCAAGCAGCTTCGAGCATTTTTGCACCTGGCAGCCCTCGCCAGGCCATCTCTCAACCAATGGAAGCCGGCGGTGTCCAAGACCCGCGGCGAATGATCTCCGTCCCTTGAGGCTACATTTTCAATACCGACTCGCAGGTGTCCTGAAGCTGTTTTATGTTGTCTTCGCGTGAACGTGTTACAGCTTCAATTCCTACTGCATGCCTGTTTTTACAGACCTGCCCCCTTTAAACGTCCGAAGTCAGATGGAGGCAGGTTCGACCAAGACCATCATCCCGAACTCCCAGGCTGTTCAGAGTTGCTTAGCCAAGACCTTGCAAGCCCCGCAGCACAAAGCTCGTCAAATGGACGAGCGTTTTCCAAGCCAGTCGAAAGGGCAATGCATGGCCGCCAGTGCAAAACAGGAGTGTGCTGTCTCGTCTTAGTCCTTACACCGTACCTTGCCTCTCCGCATCTCTAGGCGGTTTGAATACTCTGTCTCCGGCTCTGGCCACAGTAATTAAAGCGTGAAGGCTAATTCGTGTCCTCTCTTCTGGTCGCAATGCTTCGTCGTGGCAGTCTAGGCTCAAATAACATCAAACCACCAGACAACTCAGGCTTATGTGTCTGCGTCGTACCGGGTGCAGACCTGGCTGTGTAACGCACTTGTTCCACAGCAAGGGCCCCTACCGTATACCAGAAAGCCTGATTGATTAAGTCACCCGGCGGTTCCTTCAACGTAAAAGGATTTCCCTGGGCTGAAGCAAATCTCTCATCTATGCACGTCACGTGTCTCAAGAACTCAAGAAGTCAACAAGTGTCCGTGGATCCCTTGTGTCGGGAATAAAGAGATCGATCCCTGCCCGTAGTCTTAGTCATTCTAGCACCCAGTCTAAAGCCTGGATCTAGAAGTAGTGCGCAGCACAAAGCCTCAGCTCTACATACACGTGCCAAACGAGCACGCCGGCCGTGAAAAAGTAAGGACGCCCATTGCTCAAGCCCTCCAACCTGGGACACCGATAGACGGCCTTTGGACTCAAAGTTTTAATTGCAGAAGCTCCATGGCGTCAGAGAATGGCCGCTGGCGCGCTGCCGGCGAGGGCCGTACCGAGAAAGCTATTCGAGGCCCACATATATCCATGCATACATGCATAAGTACATTCATAGGTACATGCATACATACCGACACACACACACACACACGTATATGTATATGCATATGCATATGCATATGCATATGTATATGTATATGTATATGTATATGTATATGTATACGTATACGTATATGTATATGTATATGTATATGTAAAGGTATATGTATATGTATATGTATATGTATATGTATGTGTGCATATATATATATATATATATATATATATATATATATGTAAATATCGTATATAAGTATATACATGCGTACATGCATACGTTCACATGTCATACATATCTTTCCCCCCATACACAACACACACATACACATATACGTATGCACGCACGCATTCTTGTGTACACATCCAGGTACATGTTTTGACTACAGGGCAAACAAATGCGCGGTGTGCATCCAAAAAGTTCAGTTCTTTGTGTGTGAGACAGTAGCAGAGAAAGAGGGAGAGAGAGTCGCAGATATGGATAGATGGATA